CTTTCTCTCTCTCTCTCTCTTTTTTTTTTTTTTTTTTTGCTTTTTGGAAAAAAAAGGCGCAAATCATGCACAATATTGTCTTTTGCGGTTTATCTTCCTGGGGAGAAACTTTCACCTCCTCAGCCGGGCGGTGAGCGCGAGACTGATAGCGGCAATCATTCCTGCAGATAAATGAATTGAAAAGACGACACCGTCCCCCCCTTGATGAATGGGAGAAGGGGGAGGAGTCACGTGCGGAGCAACGTGGGCGCGGATTGGCCCTGCTGCGCTCCCCCCTTCCCCTGCAGCCTCTCCAACTAAGGGCGCGCAAAGCTCCAGCTCTCCTCTGATTGGCCCACTTGGCTCATCAATCCCAGGTATTGTAAAGAGCTTGACATCCCCTTTTGACAAACAGGGCTTCCAGGAGTAGCAACTTTTTTTTTTTTTTTTTGCCAAATTTTTCCCCCCTCTTCTCACGGAAAAAAAAAAAAAGGAAAGAAAAGAAAAGAAATCTTTCCACGGATCCCTTTCTTTCTTGCCCTCTTCTCTCTCACACACACTCTTTTTTTTTCTTTTCTCGAAACCTGCTCCTTGATGATTATTTCATGATCAGGGTAATGATGATGATGATGTGATGATGGGGAGCATGATGGTAAACATTGCTAAGGCACTTCCAGAATGCCCAGATTCAGCAACTTTCTTTTCTTCCTTCCTTTCTCTTTTTCTTTAAGACTAGCTAAAGAGCCTTTTGTTATTTGCTCCTTTTGAAGTTTTTTTTTTCCCTTTCCCCTTGCCTTGTCCCCCTCCTTGTTTATAATTTAAGTTCTCAAGAGCACATGTTCACTTCACTTTCTCTTTACAAGAGACGTGATTTCTCGGGGTAACTAACTGACTAGCTCATTCCATCAGTTTTCTGAAATAAATCACGCATCCTGCGCCCATCAGAACGCAGGTGGGTGAGAGCTCTTAACTTTCTAGTTTTTTTTATGGTGTTTTTTTAAAGTTGTGGTTATTTTTCTTTTCTCTTTTCTATTCTTGTTTTGTTTTCTCTCTTTTTTTTTCTTTTTCTCTATCACCCTCCGTCGCCACTCCCACCCCCACCCCCTTTTGAAGCTGGGTCTCATTCATTCAGGTAAAACTGTAAATTTTCCAAAGCTTCATTGTTCCTTTAGGCTGCATAAAGCTTTCCAATGATCTCCGAATACTTTTTTTTTTTGTATTTAAAATCCTCGATAGATAGGACCAATGTAAATTTTCTGACATTCAAACCTTTTTTAGTTCACAAATCAGTCACCCTTGTCACAGTTATTGAAATTCCTCAACTCGCCACACCAGGACGGTGGAAAAAGCAGGCGGTGTCTTTGTTACTGAGCAGGCTTTTGATCGCCAGAGAAAATTTACTTACCTTCAGATGAGTGAGCAGAAAAAGAAATAACACTCCCTTTGATTTAGTTAGGAAAATGCAGACATTTGGATTCAGTGCAAACATACAACACTTGGTTGTTTTCTAGATACAGCCCTCGATTAACCTGTCTTTCCCCAGCTCAAAGTCTATTGAAAAACTGCGGATAGTTTCTTTTTGTTCTTGCTACAAAGAGCCATTGACTATATATTAAAATGATTGTTGAAAGGTATAAGTATGGTACTTAAAAGCAGAAAAATCTTTGTGACTCAGTCAATTAAACTCAGAAACATTTGTACATTCGAAAAATACTAAGCCTAAAAATAAGATCGTATTCTTCTGCAGATATCTTTATATATTTTTCTTAAGTATAACATAGTTTATTTACAAAGTCGTCTGCATATTCATTAGGTCTAATTATTTTCTAGTAACGAAAACACAAATAGCCAGGAGTCGAAATCCTTCCATTTAGCCTTTGTGTTATACTTCATTTGGCTCTTTTGCAGCGGAATCTGAGCCCTAAACTCGCATTTCGAAACAAAGAAACTTTAACTCATCCTTTCAAAGGGATCCTGTTAGAAAAGCCTCCCTTGCAGGTACAAAGAAGAAAATGAAAATATGTGTGATTTGCACGCCTTTCCTTTAAGGACCGCGAAATCAATGTAAAGCCTCTGCCAATGACCGATTCGTATTAGCTTTGATTTTTTTTTTTTTCAAATGCGATGCTAGAGGTTTCACTTGGCGAGATGTTTAGGAAGTCCTTCTCAAGATTTCCCAATGGAACCGTGGTTCAACCCAAGGATTTTGTAGGCAGGGCGGCTTAACATCGTCTGAGATTACCTGATGGCAAGTTGGCCCATGTGGTGAGACTGAAATAGCAGCTCCAGAAATCAAATGTAATGTCTATAGCAACAAGTCTACATCTCAGCAATCCATTGCCACTTTCAGATAGAAACACACACCCACGGACCGAAATAGGGCATGGTGGGGAGAGGAGGGGAAAAGGGGTGACTCTGTAGGATTTTGTTGTGAACATATATATACACACACACATACATACATACACATACATACATATATGTCGATACATACATACATGGAAGCCATGTAGAGTTTTTATTTTTCTGTTTCAAGTGCAAGTTTGATAACATTCCACCCCAGATGTATAAAGATTTCAGAAAGAATTGTCCCTCCGAGCTGGGTCCTTTCTCTAGGGAAATGCTTCAGGAAATAGCTAGGACAAAAATCGAATCCAAATGTCCTTTCCTTTAAAGGGGGGAGGGCGGAGATGATAGGGGGAGGTGGCAGAGGGATGGGGGAAAAAATCTTTTTTAAAAAGAAGAGAGAACCTCGTCCTGGCCAGTCATTGCAAAAACCTAATGGCAAGGTTAACAAGAGGGTATTTTTAGTAAGCGCGTCAAAATATACAGGGTAAGAGTGAATGTGGGGGGGGGGGGGAAGTTGTGGGTTGTAGAAGTTATCAAGTGGGATTTGCGGCGCTCTCTGCAGGAAACGAGAGCGGCTCCAGTTCAAAGCCACATGCACCAACGTGACATATAAGCCATTAAAATATCATCCTGACGGCTCATTTCTGCTCCATCATACATTCCCTAACTGCTTCCAGAAAGCCCGAAAAGAAGAAATGAAGGATGACCGCCTCGCTGGAACCACAGAAGACGTGGTTAGCGGGGTTCTTTTTCCCCATCGTCCACCTCGAAGTGATGTGCAGAAATGAGGGATTCTCTTCAACAGGTGGAGTGGGGTAAGTGTGTGCGACAGGGAGCAGGCTGGAAGAAGGGGACTGGCACCCAATCCCCCTCCCCAGATAAAACCAACTTCGCACCCTTAGGATAGGGCTTCGGCACACACTTCCCGGACAAGGGAAGATACCGTGGCATTCCCCCTCCCCCCACCTTTTTACTTAACTAGAGGTAAGGAACCCAACACCCGTTGAGATAAGGGAAAGGCAAAATGGTACCTTTGAAATGGGCAACTTTCTGGTTTAATTCTCCCTCTCCTCCCCAGGGGGCGGGGGTAAAGGGATGGGAGGGAGAATTTGGTTCTCACAGAAATCGGGACATTTTTTCCACACCCTCCCCTCCCTACATGGTAAATTGACTTGGGGACCCAGGGTGAGGAAAGGGGACGAGACCTGTCTGGGGTGGGGCTGAGGGTGTGAGAGCTATGGGGGGGGTGAGTGTTGGGGGTTGGGTGGGAATCAGCCTTCAATGCTAGAAGACCTGGGCTGGAGGGTGTGAGATCCCTAGAAGAAGCGACGAAAGATTTTTTTTTCTCTGTCCCCATCCTTAATTGGGGCTTGGGGGAAATGAGGGTGAGGGCGAGGGGAAAGAGACTAGAATCACCTAGTCCCAGGTCAAAGGCATTAAGCTACACCAGCCCAGCTCGGATCAGGGTGCCAGGGATTCTCTGCTCCTATGCCGAACAAGGGAGCGGTGCTCCCCAGCCTTCTGGCTCCTCTCCCCGATACTCTTGGTTCCTGGGTCAAGCTGGAGACTTCCAGGCTCCGGAGCCAAGCATAGCTTTTACTCCTGCGGAATCAGGCTGTTAGGAACACTCTCGCCTCTCTCTTTCGAGGGCCCAGGAATAGCCTCTTCCCTTCCCTTCCGGGAAGCCCTCGGCTGCCGCAGCTGACTTCCTCTGCCCTAAGGCAACTGCTGGGTTAGCCGAACAGCGACGGTAAAGAGACAAGTGAGGCCACCGAGCGAGCGAAGTAGTGGCTTTGTTAGGAAGTTTCCAAGTTGCCACGAGCTGAACGGAAAGGTTCTGGAAAGGCTGAAAAGGATTTCTATCCCAGAGTCTTGGGGGCTCCTCTGGACCCAACTGAGTTGAAATCCGGGCGGAACAGAAGAGGAGG